ATTTATGACTACTGGAGAAGAAAATTTGAAAAGAAATGAAGTGACGCATGCATAACAGCGGTCGTCAAAGAAAGGAAAGTCGTTCGTCCTGCGGGCTGTCTGATCCCAACCACATCTGTTGGGTAGTTTAAAATTAAGTGCTACATCGGCTGGGCTCCATTCCATCCCTTAAATCCTGCATGGAAGTCGAGGGCATGGCGCACCTCGAGGCTTGAAAGCTTGAGAAGCGAGTTTGAACAGTATGAAGAACTTTAACCCTTCCAACGTAGGAGTGTAATGGGAAGCCTCTGAAAAAAGGTGTTTTCTCCAACAGATTATTGGTTGTTTAGCTCGATGTTGATGTGAATGAACAACGGACTGAATGCCCTACGAGTGTGATTCCCGTAACTCCACAAACAACACAGCCTCCTGTTTCAGCAAGAAGTAAGTCAACAGCGGAAGGGTATAGCCGATCATACTGAATACTCCCTTGTGGACTGTATGGGGTTTATGCAGCCGTAGTTTTGACGTATTTTTAGTTCTAGGTGAAGATGTGGAATTGACATCTCGTCGGACAAGATTACGAAATAAAATGACGGAGAAGTTCACATCGTGGAGACGCGGCGGAAAGCCGACAACGAAGCTAGAACTGGACGGCTCCAGTGGTCGCGATTCGCATTTGCCTGAGTCATCTTCGGGCACTGCTGTGGAAGGTGAAGAGCTGCTCAGTCCGATGGCCAGCATACAAGTAAGCCGTTAATTATTTAAAGGACGAATTCACGATGGAAAAGCAACCCATTTCAAATTAACCTAGGGATGGTGAGTGGTACACGAAAGAAGGAAAAAACCATGAGAAACGGCCCAGAACCCGAGAAATGGGACCCCTTCCTTGATTTGCGCATTGATGCGACTCTCATCGCTGTGCCCTCTTCAACACTACGCTCTCTCTGCTATCTAATCACTCGCCACGTATAGACCTGCGGCGAGTGATTAGATAGTCGGTGGGCGTACCCCGCCAACCGCGCCAAGAGTGAGCCATGCTAGGTCGCCGAGGTCAAATCTTTCGCTGCCAATTGCGCGTCAGTCCGCACCCTCAGGAGGTCCGCCGGTCTCTCAACTAGTTAACTACTCCTTCTTCGACCTTCATTCTAATCGTGAATTCCTCCCTCAAAGAAAAGAATTTGCGAATCCAATAGCGACAATTGAAATCAGTAACATGGACTGTGTAGTAGCAAGTGCAGGGAGTTTCCAGTGATAGATTCGGTATGTTCATAAACGCGAGAATTTCAGGAATGTCTAGCGGATGTGCTGCCAACGCTGGATGGTTCTCCTTTCATTCGAAGTTTGTACTTTCAACCGGGAAATGCGTATAATGAACAGACTATCAGTCATGCGAAAGTGTTAGGAAGAGAGATTTTCTCCAATCTCAAAGGAGAGGAGAGGAAGGCCAAAATCAACGAGCAGGTAGCTGCTTTCTTTTGTGTCTTCCATGCGGAAATATGGATATAAATACAGCAAGACATGGTTATCTCTATTTCTAGATTGATCGGATTCAACTTGCGATTCGTGAGACAAAAGACGGGAGACTGGAAGCGATGAAAAAAGATGGAACTGAAGGGAAAGCTGGTGGCACGTTTGAAGGACTAGATGAACGCCTTCAAGCATTGGCAGTACTCATGCTGCATTACTGTGCGGCTCTGCAGGTGAAATACCTTTACATGCACCCCGTTGGGAGCCCAACTGGGTTTTGTAATAATTGCCTACCCTACCAACGTCTATTGTCTTAATTTTTTGCACATTTTTGATATCAGAATGATTAGCCTCTTTTAATAGATTACTTTAAATTACTTGGTGCTGTTTATGTTTTTGTTTATTCTTTACCCGAAATCCACCAATGTGAGATGGGTGGCGAAAATCTCGCCTCGCCGTACCAGAAAGCAGTCGTGAATGTGTTAGAGCATCATGTTTTTCATAGTTGGCATTTTACAACTGGAGCATTCAAATGCAGTATATAGAGTGTATGTGTGGTACCCTTCTGCGTCGTCATTTTTAATGCAAATAATTTTTGTCATCAGTTTGTTTGGAAAGATAAAAACACTGGATTGATCTTGGATAGTTGAAGGCTCCATTATTCTGGATGGAAGTCGCATGCGTGGCCTATCCTATCGCCCCCCCCCCTTCTGGATCTTATGCTAATCTCTAGCTAAATCTTTTTAACTCCAACATATGTATAACATTTTTTGTCGTAATTTTTTTTTCGAACACTCACTGAAGATCCGTGGTCATTGTACGATTTTGTCTATTCTTTTGGATGTCCTGCCCTAGTCCTAAGCGAGTGCTTGGTTTTAGGACTGCGAATCGCAAGGACGGGAATCTCCGGTCTATGATAGTGAAGTGTTGCCTGAAGCATCAGTCGAGACTCATTCGTTGTCGGTATGTGCGTTTTATTGTGTACGTTTTCATTTCTGTAGGTATCGAGAATCATGCTTCGTCGGTTTATTCTAACATTTAAATAACAAGGTTCTTGCTAGTTTCGTTTTGTTGTTGCAGTAGGTGCTTGACATTAACTTTTCCGCATGTTAACTGTGAGGTCGCTTACCCTGAACTAACAAAGCGTACGCCAGACTTTGAAAAAGATTAGTGACAGTTGTCGCCAAAATCTCCAGCATAGGTGGATATTAGATTGCTTCATCATACTCGCTTTGATCACCAAAGTTAGCATGTGGTGTGAGATGTGAACGTTAGTTTTTGAGCGCTTCTAAAAGCAAGGTTCCCCATTTCATATGAGGTTAGGAAAGCGGACCTTTTGATGTCACATACAAAATGTGTAGGACGGTGTCAGACTTTGCGAATCCAGCGAATCTCGGGGAGCGATGCACCAGCGGTTCGATGGATTAGCGG